TTGGAATACAAAGTTATGATAAAAATACTGAAAGAAGGTGCAGCTGCCTGTTTAAAACAAGAAATTCCGTTACATAGTCCGTTAAAACAACAAATTCCGTTAGTTTTTCCGTTAAAAATAAGAAATTCCGTTACATAACCACTTTTAATATATAGAAGATACCGATTCATTTAGGCTCTCAAGATACCCAAAGCAAAGTACCCCTACACCACCCCTAAATTAGCTCAATGTAGGCTCCATTAATTTGTAAATAGAGTATAAAGCAGGGTCGCCCTGAGTACGCACAATAAGTTGTTTTAGGGGTTGTATTCAATTGAAACTTTTTTATTCATTCAAAACTACTTTTTACTATATTGGGGACGGGGACGAGACTGCTGGGGATCGAACCTGCAACTCCTTTTTGGAAACTTTTCATTATCTAACTAAATCTAAGTGAATTCTATCTTAAATGAAAATTTTTAAAAGTCAAATGATTTGTACACGTATTTAGAATAATTAACAGTTTTATAGCTTAAAATATGAATCGTGAAAGTAAAATAAGAAAATTTACTTGATAATTTACACTTTGAAATTCATTTTTGAAGCACAACCCTAATACTTGGGGCTCAATTTATCATAAATAGAGTAAAAAATGGAAAATTTGATAACTACCCTACTCTTTTTAGCCCTTATTCGACGGCCTTAAAATCCACATTTTAATGCGTTTTAATTTCTCAAACAATAATATGTTAATTTAAAATTGCAAGGACTTCTGTCAAGCAATCGATTCTTGTGACTTACAACCAACCTTTGAAAATAAAATTTTCATTTCTGTCATGAATTGAACACTCTCAATTTACCAAACAACCGACCGTAATTTTTTGACAATAACAAGTGCTTTTGGGGGTACTTTGGAGTATAAGCAAAATAGATATAAATCTTTCCACGAAACGAAGCTAAAATGACATCATTAATTGAGTAACGTCTCTATATCTATTGTATAAAAAAATTGGAAACACAAAAAAGAAAGGGCGTCAAACAGGCACTTAGGAAGACTAAAAAAAAAAAAACCCTAACTTTTTTTTTTTTTTCAAT